CCATAGGGGTGGGGCTCTGTTTGAAGTTTGTTCTCACTATATCTCAAGTACTGGATGGATCTTTCTGAAATTTCATATGTACTTACAGCACCTACCATGGAGTGCTATATCTTTACTTCATACCAATTATTTGAAACATGTTCAGGTGAGCGGTACAGGCCCTCTGGGCCTCTTGTTACATGATTTATTCCGACAACACATACATGTAGAAGTGGAAATGTCCAGACTGGTTAAACTACTTTAAAGTAAACTTGCATAAAAATATTCATGCACAAGCATATTGACACATTAAATAGATATATTACAGCAGTATTGGCAACACCAACATTCCACAAAGTAAACAGTTTAAATTGTCAAAATGTAAAAATTTACTGTGCATAAATTGTCATATATTTTAGAGTACATGTATATTTATACATTTACATTGAAATACAAAGCAGCCTTAGGTGGAAGCTGGTATTTCATCTTAATTTTTCCTTGCGTCTTTTTGATGTGCATTCAGAACTGTTTTCAATTCATTTTACAGAACATCTGCTACAAGCAATGCAGTTAACTACTTGTATGAAAGCCAAAGATTCCATATCTCTCCAACATCAATTCCATCTCCGTCAGCAGGATCTACTTCAGGAACGCCTCAGCAAGTTACAGGCACTCCAGGTATGTAAATTTACCTGGCTTCTTTTCCAGCAGATCATAAACCTTGTACTCCTTAGCCATATTCAGCCTCACCTAATCCATTTGTCTAACAACTATTTTTAATGCATGCAAGCTTTTTAAGCTATATACAGGGAAAGGTTCAATAAAACATTTTAAAGGGATAACTTATTCTGTGATTATCATAAGCTACATGCATATTCATCATACCAATATCCGCTCACACAATACTGCTTGAGCATCAGTAATTCTGATTCTGTGATTTCCTGCGATATCAATATACATGTATCAGACTTTTGACAGAATGTTAATTGTTGATGTGTCAGATATGTTATAGGCTATGTGTATACCCTAGATCTACATGTTTTATTTACTGATTTTATGTTTTTGATCATTTTGATTTACATGTTGAACTAATCAGACCTCATATTGACTTTGATAAAATATTCTTGTAAACAGATAAAGATATCTAACAAGAAAGACTTAACACAGAGTCAAGGAACACAGACCGACTTTCTGAACCTTGATGGCTCACCGAACAGTATTGATGCTGCATCTCAGGCCCTGTCTGACACCGACTCCATGCTCGAATACCTTATCAATCGAGAGAAACAGGAACGTGGGGATGTGTCAAATCAGCAACAACCAGAAGAGCACAAAATAGTGCAGAAAGTTCCAAGAGATGATAAAACAATTATCAAAGAACTGACTGTTCAAAATGATGAGTTACGGAAACATGTTCATATACTCATAAAGGACTTAGATGAATGTAAGGGAGATAATGAGTTCCTGCTTCAAAGAGTACTGACTGCTGGCAGGCCAGATAGAGGCTCAGATAATAAAGATATATTTGGGAGAACTGTCGAAGATGACAAGTCGCCAAACTTTGAGTTACCTCCCCTAGAACAACCTCATTTTGACTTTGATTCGATTGGCATTCCAGTAGAAGCCTTAGAACACAGTGTCGAGGAAAATGGTATTTTTTTCAGTGATTAATGTTCCGAAAATTATTACTGCTGGAGATTTAAGCTTCCAAGCAATTTTTTTCATGATGATTTGTCTTTATTTACAACACTGAGATATCATGTTACATGTATTTTTATGTTCAAGTGGTAACCCTTTGGTACCAGGGTGTTTTTAACTATGTGTATAGTGTAGGTCAGAGAAGTAAACAAAAAAGGTGAAATGAGTGAAATCCCCACCAGTACAGGGTTTGTTAGATGATATCCTATACCTCCTATTTATATATGGCCGTCTATGAAGGGACGTATTGACTGGCTGGGCATTGACAGTGGTTTTTCCAGAGCATCACTTCTTTGCTAAATATATGCTCCGTCAACATTTACCATACTTTATCTTGGGGAAGTGCAATGTCGCATGCTGACATTGGGTCTCAAGCAACAAGATATACAGAGTTATAGTGATTCTTTATTCATTTGTGATAGTAGAGTTGTCTGCAGAATAGCTTCTTACTATTTCGCCTATGTTCACAAAATTTGCTATACATGTGTCTTGGGAGGCGCGACTGAAGTTAGATCTTGTACTTCTCTATATACAGAGTAATGGCCCTTTGTTTATTTTCCTACCAGGTTTACCATACTATGGTTTGATAGGTGTATATCGTTCCACTCATATCACATGGTACCCTTGTTATTATTACAATATGCAATGAAATTCAATGTTTTATTATTTCTTTGTTTGCTAAGTATGGAAAACTTTTTTACATTTAACATAGCATTCATTAAACACATCAAATACATTAATCCAAGTAAAACCAGTGTTCTGATTATACTAAACTCAGTTAACATCATCTAGGATGACTGGATACCATCAATTACATGGTACAGTGACTGGATACCATCAATTACACGGTACAGTGACTGGATACCATCAATTACACGGTACAGTGACTGGATACCATCAATTACACGGTACAGTGACTGGATACCATCAATTACAGATATAGAAATAAGTCTACAAAGCTGAGGTTAGCTGGAGAAAAACCAGTCTTTCATCAAACTCACTACATCGCAGATATTATATGATGTCTTCAGATTTAGGAACTCACTGTTGTAAAGTCAGGTTTTATTGTACATGTCACCAGTCTTTCAAAAAGTACCCGGTGTATATTCATTTCAATGTCGTATTATTGTGTTAATGTTTGAGGGACCAATTTTTGTTAACTATGATATTGTAAATTTTTAACCACTGTTATAGATGCTCAATGGATGTTTTGATGTCATTTATTTGTACTGTGTAACATGTTAAACTGTGGAAGATGATTATGAATTATGTTTGTCAATAGCATATACAATCCTTAACTTGAATCTATGGCAATTAAATGGTGTGAAAGATTCCTTAATTAATAATAAAGCTATTGTTTTGATTTTTTTTTGTGTTTTTATGTATTTTGTTTAGATCTAAGAATTGTTTATGTCAATTTTCTGGTAATGTGTACACATTTGTGTATATCACCCATTGCAACGTCTGCTAGATAGAAACACTTCAACCTGGTGCTTACTGTGTACCATAATCTTTTTCATATGTAAACTTTCACCCTTCTTATTGAGGTATATTTATCATTAAAGTGAACATTGGCAAACAAGAAATAAACAAAGCAACCAAATACAGGGAGTGCGAGATCCAACGTCTGTGCAAAGAGTTCAGTGGAGTTCTGTGACGCCGAGCAGTTCAGTGGAGTTCAGTGGAGTTCTGTGATGCCGAGCAGTTCAGTGGAGTTCTGTGATGCCGAGCAGTTCAGTGGAGTTCTGTGATGCCGAGCAGTTCAGTGGAGTTCTGTGATGCCGAGCAGTTCAGTGGAGTTCTGTGACGCCGAGCACTTCAGTGGAGTTCTGTGACGCCGAGCAGTTCAGTGGATTTCTGTGACGCCGAGGAGTTCAGTGGAGTTCTGTGATGCCGAGCAGTTCAGTGGAGTTCTGTGATGCCGAGCGGTTCAGTGGAGTTCTGTGACGCCGAGCAGTTCAGTGGAGTTCTGTGACGCCGAGCACTTCAGTGGAGTTCTGTGACGCCGAGCAGTTCAGTTGAGCATGAAATTAACAACGGGCGAGTTGTTTTAAAGACATGGATGCCTTGCCCACACACTAAAAGAACTTAGGCAAGGCCTTAGAGTCCAAGGTCAAAGGTTAAGGTTACAAAAATGTTCTACTCATATAAGACACACAGGAATGTGAAGTTGTGTGACTTGAGCTGCTGTACTTAGTCTATAACTGACATGAATGTAAAATCTTAACCAAGGTCACAGGTCAAAGTCACAAAAATTTTGTGCAATACGTTCTACTTATAAAAGTTACAATGTGACCTTAGCCTCAGTATTTTGTTTATTCCTGACCTTAAAGCAAAATGTAACTGGTTGTATGTCAATGGTAATCCTACATCCCCAGCTTCGTTTTGTGGCAGAGGACAACATGAATTCCCATAATATACATGTGATAATTACACTGCATACATTCCTTATTAGATTCCAATATGCTTTAATGCAAGATTCATAGAGACATCTTTAATAGATGAAAATATAGTTCTTACAAACTTTGACTGAATGTAACATTCATTTGACCTTGATGTGACCTATTATGGTGCATTGTACACCTTCTGTCGTTTATGCTAGTACATGTACCACAAGTTTCATGAGGGTAAATGTATTCCCCAGAAGCTATATCATATTGCTGCATGATCACAAGAAAACTCCGAAAGTCCCTCTACAGAATTGGATGTTTACTTCTATTTCCAAGTTTGGTTGTCCTTGAGTGGCCCATCATCCCAGTCTGTGGATACCATCTTTATACGACCCGAGCTGTTGAGACGACACAAAACCCTAAACACACAAACAAGAGCTGTTTAATCATTTACATTATGGCCTGTACAGAATTCCTGATCATCACCTCAAAAAAATGTACCTGAACTTTGGCCTTGTTGTGGTGATTATCACTTTGTCAGAAGAAGAGTCTTTAAAATAAAGCTTTGATGACAGATGAACGGACAAACAGATGACTGTCACACCATCCCATAAGCTCACTTGGCCCCGACAGCCAGGGGAGCCAAAGTATTTTGAATGTCTTTGCCTGTATTTCCCCAAGGCATCTACACCCTTCATTTGTTTTTAACCCTTCATTTACATAAAACGGAATAATTTTGGCACAGGGAAGTTTCTTGCCAAATTGAGTCAAAATCCCCTTTTCTCTTGAGCCATTCTGGACAAGTAGTCTTTTTGACTGGAAACACCATGACCCAAGGCATAAGCTCAGGACACGGGTATTTCATATCATGTGAGCAAAGGTATTGCATACATTTAATAAAACTTACTTTATATTTTTAATTGCCACCAAAATACAATCTAATTATTTATTAGCTTCAACTGGTTAAATGACTATGAATAATGATTATGGAGTATTGGTCAATGGTTAACACTCCGTCCTTCCAAGCAGGCGGCCGGGGTTTGATCCCTGAAGTCGCCGTACGCATGGAATATTAGAGAAAGTGTTTTTCTCCAGCCCACACAACTCCAACAACCCAGGTGGAGTATAAAATGATCTGGGGTGGGTGTTGCGGTATCTGTGATGTATCAGCATTTAAGTGAGGTGGCACTATAAATGATACCGTTGGAAGCATAGTCCCACTACAAACAGAACACAATACATCTTCAGCACACACACAAGCATACACACATAAGGAGATATTAGCCAGGTGGCAAAGGACTAAGTAGTTAGCGCCTGATAAGGCAGCTACTGCGAATTCCTCAATATTGTATTGATTAATATATATGCTAATTGTATTGACTGTATTAAATTGTATATCTATGTACTGTAAAGTGCTTTAGAGTGGCTTATGTTAGCTAGATAGGGCGCTATATCAAATGTTGTATATTTATTCATTTATAAATCAATAGGACCATGTTTTCAGTGACTGACCGTTATTTTCGGAAACTCAATGTAACTTTTAACCCTTTCACCCCTAGGTTACTTGAATAGACTCTACCATACATTCATCTGGGTGAGTCCATGATGGTCTAGAGTGGTGAAAGAGTTAAGCCCACCATCTCAGCTATTCAAATCACCCTGCGTCCGTGGTCGGTCCGTCCTTAAACGATTTTTGTTAGTGCCATTTATTTATCAAATTTCACATGAAGGCTCCCAATGGTTCCTAGTTTCGCATTTAAAATTTTGGGGATGATTGGAAAACCAAGATGGCTGGCAGGTGGTCGTATTGAGTTTGGGAGTTAACCCTATTGCTCAAAACATATTGGAGGTATCTTTCTCAAATTTCACCTCAGGGTTCCTCTTGTTCTTAGTTCTACATATCAAATCATATCGCCTGGCCATCATGTTACAGTTTTTGTTTTGAATCGCTATTTCTCAGATTTACTTGAGGAAATTTTTTGAAATTTGAAATGTAGGTTCCCCTTGGTCCTGAGTTGTGCATGTTAACTTTTGAGGTTGTTCAAAAGATTGATTAAGATGGCAGACAGGCAGATAAGAGTAAAGAAGAGAAAAGATCTAACTGACACAGAACTAATGTTGATGGTACAATGTTGAGTGCCAAGATCCCTCTGAGATCTCTTGTTTGATTGATTAGCACTGAAACAAAAGAACCCAGGAGGTGAATGGTATAGGACGAAAAATTATGACAGGAATTGCTGTTTTAACTCACTGAAAAAAAGAAGTGTTTTTTTTTCAAATCCAATGTCATATGCCTGAAATATCTTCAAAAAGAATTCCACACGGACCATATTCTTGTCCCATTAGAACCCAGAGTAAATACTATTAACCAGAAAATGTTCACTGCAGTTGAACTTCTGCCTTCAAATTCAATACTGAGGGCAAATTTATCATGATAGTGAATATCAGTACACAACACACTAAATTAAGTTATATATGTGATGGCGAAAATGTCCTGTTGTACACTAGTTTACTGCCCTAAATCTTTCTTCAATGTTCCGATGGATGTCAAGCACCATTCCATATTAATTTACACTTCAAAACTACTCGGAGATAAAGTGTAGAGGTTTTACAAAACTACTCGGAGATATGGTGTAGAGGTTTTACAAAACTACTCGGGGGTATGGTGTAGAGGTTTTACAAAACCTACTTGGAGATATGGTGTAGAGGTTTTACAAAAACTATTGGAGATATGGTGTGGAGGTTTTACAAAAACTACTCAGAGATATGGTGAAGAGGTTAAACAAAACCTACTCGGAGATATGGTGTAGAGGTTTTACAAAAACTACTCGGAGATATGGTGAAGAGGTTATACAAAACCTACTCGGAGATATGGTGTAGAGGTTTTACAAAAACTACTCGGAGATATGGTGAAGAGATTTTACATACTACTCGGAGATATGGTGTGGAGGTTTTACAAAACCTACTCGTAGATATGGTGTAGAGGTTTTACAAAACTACTCGAAGATATGGTGTAGAGGTTTTACATACTACTCGGAGATATGGTGTAGAGGTTTTAAAAAACTACTCGGAGATATGGTGTAGAGGTTTTACAAAACTACTCGGAGATATGGTGTAGAGGTTTTACAAAAACTACTCGGAGATATGGTGTGGAGGTTTTACAAAACCTACTCATACATATGGTGTAGAGGTTTTACAAAAACTACTCGGAGATATGGTGTAGAGGTTTTACAAAACCTACTCGGAAATATGGTGTAGAGGTTTTACAAAAACTACTCGGAGATATGGTGTAGAGGTTTTACAAAACTACTCTAGGATATGGTGAAGAGGTTTTACAAAACTACTCGGAAATATGGTGTAGAGGTTTTACAAAAACTACTCGGAGATATGGTGGAGAGGTTTTACATACTACTCGGAGATATGGTGTAGAGGTTTTACAAAAACTACTCGGAGATATGCTGTAGAGGTTTTACAAAACTACTCTAGGATATGATGAAGAGGTTTTACAAAACTACTCGGAAATATGGTGTAGAGGTTTTACAAAAACTACTCGGAGATATGGTGTAGAGGTTTTACAAAACCTACTCGGAGATATGGTGTAGAGGTTTTACAAAAACTACTCGGAGATATGCTGTAGAGGTTTTACAAAACTACTCTAGGATATGGTGAAGAGGTTTTACAAAACTACTCGGAGATATGGTGTAGAGGTTTTACAAAACCTACTCGGAAATATGGTGTAGAGGTTTTACAAAACTACTCGCAGATATGGTGTAGAGGTTTTACAAAACTACTCGAGGATATGGTGAAGAGATTTTACAAAACTACTCGGAGATATGGTGTAGAGGTTTTACAAAACTACTGGGAGATATGGTGTAGAGGTTTTACAAAACTACTCGGAGATATGGTGTAGAGGTTTTACATACTACTCAGAGATATGATGTAGAGGTTTTACAAAACTACTCGAGGATATGGTGAA